CGCTACTAACTAAAAAGAAAAACAAATAACAAACTGAAGCCCATTGTAGAACAAAGTGATGTCAATACTACTAGTAGCAAAAACAACAAAAATAAATCAAATAAGATAACAAACAATTTTATTGTATTTGTATGTGTGACTAGAAGCTAAATAAACAATTACTGAAAACTTTTAAACAAACAGTGAACAAAGAAAAAAACACTAAGTAGTTAGTTAAGTTAATATTTACGCCGTGACAAGTATAGATATTTCCTATGAATGCAGTATGTCTATTAAAAACTTTTTGTTCAATAAATTTTTGTAAGAGTTCATTGTCGAAGTCGGGCAATGCAATGCACACGATCCAAAATATTTTATTATTTCTTTTAAAAAACTAATTTTGATATTATTGCGAAGTTAACAATATTGTTTAAATGAACTATATATAATACTATTGGTGAACAATAACGGTGCTTTTAAAAATGAGTTTTTTCTTCAAAAAATATATATATATATTTTTCAAAGCATTCTAGCACACTTAAGACCAAATTTCATAGCCAACGATTACCAAAGAATCAGTAAATTACTCTTCCAAAGATTTTATATAATTACAGATTGAAAATTAAAGGAAAAACATGGTATGGTGAATTCAATGAAAATGTTATGAAACAAATCATTCGTAGGAAATAAAACATTTTCCACACTAAAAGCAATTATGTTATAAGATCGAAAAAACATACAGTTACACACACAAAATCCCAATTATTTCTGTTATTTCGATACAGTACCGAAAAAAGAACAAATATACTTATTAGTAAATAAAATAAAGGATATTAAAAAATAATAATTGATATAAAAGAATTAAACAAAAAATAAAAATAGAAGAAAAAATAAAGCAAACCAAAAATTGTCATAAGTTCCTCGCAAAACTGGTTACTCAGCTTTTTTACTTATTTTGTAGAAGGACGATTTATAAATGTATCGACTCACGAGTTACTTGTGTAGGGAAATTTAAGGGTAATTCAAGGTACTACAGGCTTTGGCAGACTTAAGGCTCTGTTATGCATACTTGGCATTGCTTGAGTGTTGCCACATAAGAAATCTGTTAAATGAGCTTCGTATGTAAGCGGTTACTCAACGCACAGCATTACATACGTAGAAGTCTGTTGGTTTTTGATTTCTACGTAAAAATGGTATAGCAGTGCATGCAATGCCAAGTATGCATAACAGAGCCTTTAGTCATGGAATGAAAATGGTTGTTCTGCAAGAAGTGCATTTCGAGCATTGCGTGATTTTTTTCGGTCACCTAAACGTAAATGTTAACAAGCAAAACTGCCCATTTTTAGGGGTACTGAAAATCCACATGTCATTCAAGAAAAAACTGCAAACACAATGAGTTACTGTTTGGTGTGCTTTTTGGGCTAGCGGAATCATCGGGCTGTACTTCTTCGAAAATAATGCCAGTAACGCTGTTACTGACATGTTAACAAACTTTGTATGGCCTGAATTAAATGGCATGGACTTGGACAATGTGTAGCTACAATAGGACCTTGCCATTTGTCACACAGCACTTGAAACAATGGCCCTATTGTGAACGAAGCTTTCAGACGAATTACCTTAAGAAACAGCTGTGTCAAACTAATGCCGAGATCTTGCGATTTGACACCATGAGACACGGCGAATTTATACAAGGTAAGCAAAAACAAAAATTACAACAACAAATTATACGATTATACGCAAAATGACGGCAAGAGGTACCCCAAAGTACAACAAACACATCACTGACATTCAGAAGGATCGCGGCGAATTCTAGTAACACCACCGTGTATAAATTCGCTTTGCCATGGGACTTTTTTCTCTGGGTCTATGTGAAAAGCTGAACCACCCTGTACAATGTGCTTAGTGCCTAATCCTGCCCTACGTCGAATTTGCGTATTTCCGTTTGGCATTCTAGTCTCCGAATTGTTATTAGAACTTTCGAACATTCCGAAAACTCGATTTAGCATGTATTCCGAATTACATCGTAACATTAATCCACAAGTCCGCCTTGCATTTTTGTCGGCAATAGCACAAGTTTAAGGAAAAGACAAAATTGTCCAACTTGCCACATATTTATATGCATCCTAATGTAAAATTTCCCGCATTTCGATGCATTTCTGAACACACCCATAGGATAGGACACCACCCTGTGACACTCCTTGTTTAATTCGCCTTGGTATAGAGGTTTGATCCTGAAAGGTTACTGGCGCCTGCCGACCACGCAGATAATGGTTTCAAGTGCTTCTGACAAGTCCACCACTACTAGGAGCGTTCCCTCACAACGCCGATTTCGGTTGAGGCCAAAAGTTAAGGGTAGTAGTGGCCAAAGCCATGCTGATGCTTCGCTGGCGTCAGGTGGCAACAGGACCTCAAGCAACTTCACTACTGGGGTAAAGAGAGTTACCGGGTGGTAATATTCCGCTTTGTTGGCTGGTTTCCTCGGCTTTAGTAGTGGGACCACCATTCCGCCGCACTTGATTTTTTTCGCATCAGCATGCATATTCCATCAGGACCAATTACTTTGCAGGCTTTCGCCTTCCCTGGATTCCACCGATGGCGAGAGCCTTCTGATCACTCGTTACTTGCCTTTTTAAGGTCCTATCAGTCGGTTCATCAGTTATTCACACAGTATCGCCGTGGTCAATGGCTCAAACTATAGAGTTTTCTTTCTTCTAACGGACCTTCCGCCAGCTGAAAATATTTTTGCATCGAGTTTATATAGTTTGTAAACTAGTGTAAATTGGAATAGCCGAAAGCAACAGTCAGCACATGAATTTTTTCCTAGCAAAAAGCTCTTGCTTATAACGAGTAGTTTGTGCTGGAAAAGCTTTTGAATTTGCTAATTTGTAAAAGCGCAGAGAAAGGTGGCTAGCAATTAGTTGGCTTGTACAAATGTTGGCTCCTCAAATATTGCACAAAGGTGAAACAAACTAATTACGGACAAATTGGGATCAAATTTCGGAAAAATGTAATGACCTTCACTTGGGGAAATATACACAATTGTGCATAAGTAGTTATGTGTATATGAAATATGTATGTATTTGACCTTGTAAGCACAGTTGTTAAATTCTCGAGTGTTAATGACATAACTGAGGTGTCGATTTATTAGACGCTAATTGCTAGTACTTTTAGAGCTATGATGTGTTAATTGTAAAGCAATGAGCAGTTAGGCAATCAACTATAAGACGGAAGAATGCATTCTTTTGAGTTGCGCTTACAAGGTGTAGATGGAGAGGCGTTATTGTGTAAATGTGAAATATCATTCATGGAAGTTTTTTACTATCGACGCAAAGTCTTCATACATGTGAAGTAGCCGCTCGTGCTGCCTCTCTGAGGATTTCAAACCAGACCGAGTTGTATTTACTTTTTAATTTAAGTTACTCGTAAAGCGCAACCTATTTTTAGTTGACTAAATGCCACCTTTGTGTTGGCTTGTTTTTTTTTTTCATCAACAGCACTTTGTTATTGATTCTATGTTGTTTTTTTTTCCTGTTTTTTACATGCCTTTGTGTTTGTGAGTGTGTGTGTATGTATGTGTCAACAAACAACCGTCTACCTTCTGCTGACTGTGCTGGCTTTGAGCCAAGAAGCCATGCTTACAACTTGTAAGTTACAAGTGAGCTTAAGAGCTTTCTGCCTCACATATAACATACATACATATGTATATATATACGTGCTCACACTCACTTATAAGACAAAGTGAGCATTTTGCGCCATTTGAAAGATACAAATGCATCTCATTGTTGTCTACAGACTACAACCGTTGAGCATTAATAACACTGGTTTACAGCAAAAATGTTCTATGGATTCCACTACGCAATTCGCATGTAGAATTTCTCGGTGATTTCGAAAATCGATATAATTTTTTTTTCTATGGATAACTTTTCGAGATATATGCAATTTGCCGTTACTCAGCTTTAAAAAATAGTGGTTTCACTTAATCACGTATATCTTACGAACCAATTGAATAATCGTAACACGAGATACGGGATATGAAAGCAAATGAAATTCTCCATAAACTGTATATACATATATCACTTTTCGATAGCCCTGATAGTTTCTGAGAAGTTAGTTAATAATTTCTGACACCTCTTGTTTTCTATGCAAACAGTCTAACTACTCAGGTGTACGTGGCGTATGAGTGAGTTTTCTGCTCATATTTCATACAAAAAATCCTTGCGCATTTTCATTTGACCAATCATTATTTTGATATATATATCGATTTTCTTCATTGGTAGCTTAGTATTTTTCTAAAGCCTGTGCAAATTATTTACCCACAAACTGTTATTTTTTGAATTTTTCCCGGTTAAAGTTTGAATTGTTTGCATTTTTCCATAAAAAAAAAACAAAAAAAATGCAATGATCAATTAATTTCTCAGAAACTATCAGGCTATCGTAAAAGTAATCTATATGTATATGTATGTTTATTGGAGAACAAAATCAAAATTAGAATTTGTGATCCAGTGTAATTATTTGTGCTGCAGGCAGTGTTGCCAGACTTAAAAATAACTGTAAATTTCCCGAGGAAAACTGTTTTTTCAACTAAAAAATTGTAATCTTGGAAAACTAAAAGTTTTTAATAAATTAAGATTTTTTAATTTATTGACATAAATAAAAAAGACGATTCCTTTATAATAAAATAACATAAACCATTTAAATTTCATCTAATTAAAAAAATATTTACTATAAAATAGAACATTTTGTTTTACTGAAATTCAGTTTCGTTATTTTTCGTTAATTACTTTGTTAATTTTTTGGGCTTTTAAGAAATCCATAGTTTTTAAAATACCAGAGGAATTTTTGTTTTATTTCTTGTTCTGTCCAAACTGATATACAAATATTCTTTCCACATTTCCACTGGAATGCAAATGACAGCTGAAACCTTGTGTTTCAAATGAGGAAATGTAGCTCCTTCATCGCCCCCTTTTATCTTAAAAATTTACTTACGAAAAACCGAAAGAGAAATTTTAATTCGTCCAATGCGGAAATTCCGCAAAAATTGTAATTTGTAATTTAAATAACTATAATAACAGTTAGAACTATGAATCTGGCAACATTGGCTGCAGGTGAGATTCATCGAATTTTCGTTTGGAACTCCATGGAAACCTCAACCGCAATCATCAGATGTACATGCGCTCACCGCTTACTAAGTCTACGTCTGAGTAATAACCACAGCCAACAAGAGTGTGTGTGAATGTGCTGCTTGCTCACCTTTAAGTTGTCTTCTCTTGCTCACCGATGGCCCATCTACCGTCTAAGCGTGTTGACCAAGTCACAGTTGAGTTTCGAACTTGGCAGCGTGCGGTTGTGCCTTTCGCTTTACTTAGCTATCATCAAGTCGCATATTTAGATAATTCAAAGTTTGTGTGTTTTCGGTTGGAAGAAGAAGACGTAGAAATCCAAAACAAAGTGCTAATTTTTGTTAATTTCTTCTTTTTCCTCTCTCAAAAAACTTAACAGAAACTTACAGTGAAAATAGATAATTTCGAAGTAAATATAAACCGCTGTTACTTTTTATTTGAGTTTTTTGTAAGTTTTACGTATTCTCATAAGTGTGCCAACCACAAAAAAAAAAACGATTGAACCTTTGTAAAAACTGCATTATTTCAAATAGTTGTGTAAAGTGTAATTAAACGCCAACAAACTTGCAAGTAACATTTGTATTTTTTTTGGGTGCTTTTTTTTGTTTTTGTTTTTATTTATGTCTGAGCCTCCAGACGTTAAACTGAACTGCATCGTATCGCATCGCTTCACCTACTGTGCTGCCCGCCCGCCTGCCCACTAGCCTGTTTATGGGTTGACTTGTTGCAGCGCTTCAGACATTTGCGGTTTCAATTTCAATAAAAGCAAGTTGGAGTTGCTTAATATAAGTGTTGTTGTTTGTTGTTGTTTACGTTATAATATTTTTTCACGCCTAAACGATAATGCAAACAAAGCGTGTAGCTTTGGTGCATAAAAATAAAAAAAATGTATGTATTTATAAATATGTATACAATATGGAAACATATCATTTGTCGGTAAAAGTTAGATTCAATTCCAGAACTTGGAATTACAAGTAGCGTTAAATGAGTTAAGTAAATAATGAAACGGAAGCAAATGCTGAAGAGTAAAATAAATCGGGAAGTTGAAATTCTAGAATGCTGAATAAAGGACAAAATAACATAAAATAAAGAGTATAACAAAAGTTTAAATGAAAAAAAAAAAAATGATACCAAAATGTCAATACAAAATAAAATATTGGCAAAAGAAAACAAGTAATATTTCCTTAAAAATCGAATAAAAATAGATATGTAACTTAAGCCCAACAAAACAAAAATTTTTATTTTTCCAAATGAATACGGTATTTTGTATATTTATGAATTGACAAAAAATAAAATTGAAAAATCGATATAAAAATAACAAAAAAAAATTGTTAATAAAAGTATAACATACCTTGTAAAAAATAAAAAGCGATAAAAGTTATTAAATTTCTAAAAAAATAAACGAAGTAAAAAAAAAATAAATGCTAAAAAGGTAAATAAAGGGAAATTAATATAAATTAATATTCACCTTAAAGATAATATAAAATAAAAAGAACACTAAATGAAGAGAAATTAAGAAGAAAATTATAAATAAGCAAGAAATAATGAGAAATCAAAAATTTTTTCTCGGAAACTAAAATGGGAAATTAATTTTCTCTTCTATCATCGAAGTTGTTGCCATCTGAAAATTTTAACAAATAAGGTAGGTGAAAATATTTTTATTATTATTTTATTTATTTATTTATTAAAACTCTACTGTACTGTTTTTCCACCGGAATCATAAAAGACGGTGTGCTCAAACCAAGTTTAAATCAAAAGTTTTCTAACCCCGGATTTTCCTCTCGGATGTGACTCTGTGGCTTTCTAGGAACATTTTCGTGTCAAAACCAAAATCGGCAAACGGACACTTTGCGGGAAAAAGTGTCAAAAAATTGCGTTTGTTGCAATATGCGAGTATATCCACAATGAATAATTGAAAATTGTAAAATCACCATTCGCAACTTCTGTTGACTAGCTATTGCCAGATGTGATTTTCATTCACAGCGAAATATCATGCTAGTAGAAAAATCACCATTCACTGATATTGTGGCCTAGCAGTAGCAGTTACTATAAGCGATTTTTCAATCTCAGTGGTAAAATAACCGGTAGTGAAATATCGCTCATCACTAAAATGCCATACAAGTACATATTTCGTACATATATAATCATACTTCGGATAAAATAATAATACGCCAAACAAATTGACCCACCCTAATGTACATATTTCGTACATATATAATCATACTTTGGATATAATAATATTTGGCTTAACTTACATATTTAATTCAATATACATTTTTAAATTCGTTGCACTGATGCACGGCTTCGACACGGACGTTTAAAAAATAATTAATTAACAGCTAGGCAATGTGCAATTTTTCACGAAGCTTTCCACAAAAGTTTAAGGTATTTGTAATTGAAATTTTTTGATGAAAATAAAGGTCGTTGAAATCGGATAAATATTTTGGTAGTTTTTCAAACACTAAAATTTGCTTTAAAACTTTCTATAAGAGTATAGAAGTTGTAGCATCTAGAATAGCTGAAGAATATTTTTTTCTATGGCCGAAGAAATCTTTATTTTTATTATGATGACTTTATCTGTTGAAACGTTCCATAGATGAGAGTTAAAAAGAATAGTCGACAGGAAGATCTGCTCATCAGCACCAAATAAATATCGAAAGCAAGTGAACCAATGAGCTGTGCGTACTCTTTTCCTTAGTAAAATACCAAGTGGGCCGCACTAAAAATCTGTCAAATCAGCAATCATATAATTGGTTTCGCATTCGATTTTTGCGTTATTTTTTTTTTGTTTCTACTTACATACCTCCTTTTTTGTTTCTTCACCTATTTTTATTACCTATCGCGCTGTGCTGTGCTATTACTTAATATTTCGTTTGTTGCACTATGCGCTCATTAATGACTACGGCAACAACAACAACGATTAATCCGATTTGCGTGCAATGAACCTCAATTGTGTGCTGATACCACCAAACTTTAGCTGTTTTCTGCAAGAGTTTGTTTTTTTATGTAACTACTTTACGTGCATTGGTGGTCGTATGTAGGTGTTTATTAAGGTGTGCTTTTACACATTTACTTACGTACATACATACTTAAATATTTTTTTTCTCTTGTATGTGCCTACAATATGTGTGTAATTTGTGGTTTTCCGGCAAATTAAATTTGCACCCAAATGTTTTTTTTGCTCTTCCTTTAATTTGAAAATTGCTTCTTTTACATGTAATGTGTTATAACGAAGTGGCAATGCAATGTAAATTTAGTTTATAATTAAAATACCATCAACTCTTGCTTTCGTTTTGTACAACAACAAAATTGATTTACTTTACGAGCACTGCCTTGGGGTATACGCTTCTCGATGCTTTTGTGTTTGATTGTGAGATTTTTCTTAATGTTTCATTTGATAAAAGCTAATTTGTTTAATTTTTTTCAGAGCCAAAAAAATTAGTTAAATATTTAATGTGTTTAACTGATTCGATAAAAAACGTATTAACATTTTGAAATGGATGCGCAAAAACAGTTTGCATAAGCACCTGTTGGTTCCTTTGCCATGACATCATGATGAAGTCATCCGACAAATGCAATCAGTTTTTGTCTCACGAAACAGTGAGCTACCGGAATAATTTATTGCAACTATTTTTTATCCATTATACAGTTTCATTTTAAGTATAAGTATCCGGTACTCGTCACTAAAATGAAAAAAGTTAACTTATTCTTTGGCAATATTTTTAGTCACTTCCATGGTAAGCAATACATATTTTTCCAAATCTACTTCCAATTACAGTTATCGAAATACATACAAATCGCTGCCTTAGGTCCTACTTTCTTCGAAACTGCTTTTTTCACAGATTTTAGTAAAAATTTAAACCTGTCTTGGATACTCTTTTTATAATGCTTTTTGCTTCTTTTGTAAAAAAAAAATGATGGTAGGGCCTTTGTGAATTAAGGTGACGAACTGTTCTTTTCAAGAGTGGGGAACGTAAAGCGTTTGCGCGTATAGCGAAAAGGTTTGAACTGACTATTCTAAGGCCTGGACTGTTGGGAGTAATGATGTTGTTGTGAGATAATTAAGCAATAGTGACGAACATATTAGAGCCAAAGGGCAAGAAGCAACTTACTCACCAAACACTCGACTTATTAAGCAATATAAGATATATTAAAATAAGCCACCTTTTCATCTTTAAATTTAACCTTGGAGTTCTACTCTAAGCGATGGAAGAAGTCTTGAATTCGATTTCGAAGATCTCTACAGTTGCTTTGTAATGGGCAGGAGTTTTCAACAAGTTATTTCACAAAATGATTGAGTATTTTATAGTTCTTTATAAATGAAATAATAAGAAGATGACGGAAATTGCCAAAAAGGTATATTCTTAGGAGCAACCAGGGCAGGCGATGACAAACCTCCGAGCGCGCTCCTACTATGAAAACTTTAGCCATAAAAAACTAAACTGCCCTCCAATTCAGTATTCGTTTCAAAACGAAAGCTTTGAAATGTAAAAGAAGCCAAATAAGTACTCACTTCTTAAATCCGAATACTTTCATTCTCTAAGTATTGCTTAATCTTGACCGCCTCCAGTAAGCGAAGGAGTTTGGCCAGGGAACACGGAAAATAATGGCTCTAGATACATATACTGGAAAATCGCTGAGCGCTTAGCAGAAATTTCATGTGCTTTTTATTCCCTTTCTGTTATTTTGTCTCTTCCTTTCTTTGTTTCTTCCCATTCTTATCATTTAATTTCATTTCTTTCTTTTCCTTTTTGTATTTTCGGTGGTTTTACTTTCTTACTTTTTTGCTTTTCTTTCTTTTTATTTTGGTTTTCGTATTTCATTCTCTTCCCTGGTATTTTTGCTTTCATCTCTTTATTGTTATATTTTTTTATTTCTCTCTTTCCTTAACTTTCTTTTTTGTTTATGCTTTACTTTTCTAATTTTCATTTAACATTATTTTGTCTTTTTCTTTTTATTATTCCATTTTCTTCTTTTTTTGCATTTAATTCTATTTTATTCTTGTCATTGGGTTTACTTTTCTTTTAAGTTTGATTTTCCTAACTTTTTTTCCCAGTGAACTCGACGAAGAAGACTGATGAGGAGATGTAGTGATCTCCGAAGTAGCAGCTATAACTTCTTCCATTTATAAACTGTTTTTTCCACAATTTACTTTAAATTTTTACTTTTCTTTTCATGTACTTCCTTGTTTTTTTTCCTGTTTGGTATTTGCTTCTCTTCCTTTTCCTCTTCCTTTTCCTTTTCCTTTTCCTTTTCCTTTTCCTTTTCCTTTTCCTTTTCCTTTTCCTTTTCCTTTTCCTTTTCCTTTTCCTTTTCCTTTTCTTTTTCCTTTTCCTATTCCTTTTCCTTTTCTCGGTCGCATTTTTCTTTTTCTTACTCTTTGAGAATATACACATATTTTGTACTTCT